TTTACCTTCAACTCCCTCTCTAGTCTTATCAACAAGAATAATATAATTAGAAAAAATTATACACCAAGGTGCATCCTCTTGCAAAAGTTTAGTGAGAAAATCCATGACTCAAGCAAAAGGATATGGGCTTAAGGCTAATCCTTAATGTAATCCAACTGAAATAGGAAATAGGAAAATCCATGACTCAAGCAAAAGGATATGGGCTTAAGGCTAATCCTTAATGCAATCCAACTGCAATAGGACAATAGTTGGTCAAACCACTTTGTGTTTGAACACAAGTAATAGATCATGCATACATATCCTTAATGACTTGAATATAAGAATTATTAACCCCTTTTCTTTCAAGAACTCTCCATATCACTTCTCTTAATTGGAACTTTATCTTATACTTTCTCTAAATTAGTAAATATCATATCCTTTGCCATTCAGCAGGAACCATGTAGCCACTTTGTATTTGGATGTTCAATCATTACAAGGATTTCCTTCCATATCATAATGATCCTCTACCATGTCTACCCAATTCACCACCATTTTGCACTAACATGTAACAACCATTATTGCCTAATTTGGTCATTTTGGAGGAAACGACTTTACACTTTATGTATGGAGAAATCATCATGTTAGGTATTTCCTAAAAATATCACAATATCTTTCTAATATATCTCCCACGTTTATAGAATAAGTGGGCCTTATTATACATGTCACCCTATACATCACTCTATGTGCTGAACTATTAGTCTATGGTGTGATTGTCCATCAACAACCACCTTCCACTAGTAATTTAACACATAGGTAATGTCCTTTTTCATTCTAATAATGATCACAAAAGACTTAAATATTACCATCCACCTTAACACCATCTCCAATTAACACCCATATTAAAAATAGCCAAACTACTTCCTTAATTAGAGGTTCAAAATTTACAACTTTTGATCCAAGTTATCTTTAAGATTAAATTAATTTCATGAGAACCCTAAGAGATGAGAGACTAAAATGAGTGATTATACTCGCTCTTATTTTTTTTTTCCTTTAGCCTATTTGAATTCTTCTTTTTCTTATTTAGTGGATATAAACTAAGGGGTTGAAATAATTAGTATATTCTAGGTATTCTCTCTCTCTCTCTCTCTCTCTCTCTCTCTCTCTCTCTCTCTCTCTCTGCATGTTATTCTCTCTATTTCTATTTATAAACTCTTTCAAATGGCATAACTCTAACCCTCAATCAATAATATAGATTGAGTTGGAAGCTGGCCCTGAATTATATTGTTTTTTTATAGAGATAAAGCTTTAACTAACTAATGGGGCATAGGACTCAACCAATAAAATGCGATAATGCTCAATCAATTAGGTATTTGGTGGAAAAAAATTATTACATAAGGTTTACGTTTTTGAAGGAGTTTGATAATAACTTTTGTTTGTTACTTAAATTGAAAGGAAGAAGAGGTGGCATTACAGGAAATTCATTTTATGAAGTGTGGAAGACATTCAATTGGATATATTCTTATGAAGAATGTGATAGACTACTATTCTTCTATCTAATAATAAAGAAGGATGTCATTAAATTTTTTAGAAGGTGTCAAATGTGCAAAGTTCATTATAACATTCTACAATAATCAATTTAGGGGCTATAGCTAGTTACAAGTTCCATATCATTCTTCATGTTGGGGAAATGATTTAATAGTAATCTCCCTTCTAGAAGAAAATAAATGAATAAGACTTCCATAAGTTTATTTTACAAGCTCCTATCCACCTATCCAGTGGCGGATCCAGCCCTTTTTTTTAGGGTGGGCAAACTTAATATATAATAGATATATTTCAATAGCAAAATTCAAAACAAAGCATTGTATTCATCATAATTTTTAAAAAGAAAATTACATACTTTACATTCTACTTTGCATTTTTTGATAATGTTGCATAATAATGGTTGCATTATAAAATTTTTTTATTACTTTTTTATATATGCTTAGATATGTATTTAATTTCATTAAAAATAAATTTCCATCTATACTTTTTTATGTTAAAATTATCAACCAAACGATTGTCAGCTAAAAAATAAACATCAATAATGTTTAATATTGTATCAGACTAAACATTGATTTACAAATATAAAATAATAATTAAATTTATAAAATTAAGAAAGAAAATTTAGGCTTCGTTTGGGACGGCTTTTTTATTGCTTTCTAAAACGGAGTTTTAGTTAAAAAATAAACCGTTTTAGAAAGCAATAAAAAAGCCGTCCCAAACGAAGCCTTGATAAAACAAAATACCATCATATATAAAACATTTTCAAGAAAAACCTATTGTAAACAACTAAACACCATGTGTAGATAAGGAAAAATGGAAGATAAAGGAAAAACTACTGTAAAAAGATTTTTTCAAGATGCAAATAAAAAAAATGGAAGCAAGAAATAGAACTTACCTTCAAAACGATGAAGGCGGCTGAAAAATGAAAAGAGAGGGCTGGGTAGAGTGGTTGCGGGCTGCGACTGTGAGAGACGAGAGGCGAAAGAAGCTTTCTTATGGAAGCAAGAAATATAACATACCTTCACGAAGAAGCTCAGACGAGAAGATGAAGGCGGTTGCGGGCTGCGGCTGTGAAAGACGGGAGGCGAAAGAAGCTTAGACGGGCAAATAGAGAGCTCCGCCGAAAGAAACTGCGAACAAGAGCGGGCTGCGATGTCAAAATTTTGGGCAAATACTTTTTTTGAGGGGGGGCATATTTCCTAAAGTACCCCTCCGCTGCTGTTTTTTTTTTTTAGGGTGGGCATTTTCCCACCCTTAGCTGGGCGTGGATCCGCCCTTGCACCTATCCTAATTAGTGTTTTGATAAAAAGGTGGCCACTATAAATTATATAGGCAAGTGTCGTGATTACATTTAGAAAAATTCAAGAGAGGGGATTGAAGAACAACTGACTACTAATTAGTCCATACTCTCCCCTAATAAAATTTTTTTATAGTTATTTTAAGCTTAAAAACAATCATCTTTGGTTAAAAGATAGCCAATTGATATTAGAATATAAATTGAGAGTTCTAAGTAATTTTGTAAAAAGTTGTTCACATGTGTGTGTGTGTTTAGGGGGGGGGGGTTTTCACATATGGGGCGGGGGGGTAAAGAAGAATAATTGTGAAGATTATTCCATACGGATTAGTGAGGGTATGAAGGATAGTAGTGAGATCCTTGTTATTGACCCAACCATTCATGTTCAGGTTATAAATAGGGTAAACAAGTAGAACGAGGATAGTATAGATGTCCTTGCCAATAATCTTGTCATTCTTTTAGAAAGTGAAGGTGTTGTAGTACAAGAAATAGATCCATCTTTTACCATTATATGTATGATAATGTTATGAAAGAGATATAAGATGTTAGCTCAACTCCTATTATGGTATCTTGATATGATGTAAAGTTAATAAATTATCATAGTAGAAGAATAAAAAACAAAATAAAAAATAAATATTAAAACAAAACCATCAAGCAAGATCTATAAGCCAACATATTGATGTGTCATTTTATATCTCCGCTCGATTGATGAACATTTTCTTTCTTCAATGCCTACATATCAGGATTGAAGACAATTTTTTATAGAACGAGATAAGGGTGGGTAATAGAAGCTTGTCATGATTTCAATAGTTGAATATACCTTCAACATGACTATTTAGTAAGCTAACAGGTCTATTAGTCCATTGTTAACATAAGTTTTAACCATATGTTTTATGTTTTATAATGCTAAATAAGAGAACATATATGACACTATCCAAAAGTTTAAGGATCATGCAATTATTGCTATCTAAACTTAATTGTTCTATCAATGCTTTTAAATAGTGATATCTATATACAATTAATTAAAGAGGAAGAGCACCTTTAAGTGGCCTAAACATGTACTATTATAAAGGAAATTTCTTGAGGTCTCACTATTTGCAAAGAGCATGATGTTGTATTACTCTATGCCCTCTTCTATTGCAGCACTGAACTCGCATGTAACGATGAGTTTATTATGCAAGTATTTCCCTTATTTACTTGTGTTGTCATAATTATTTGACAATGGGTAGGATTGTAAGTGGAGAAGGTACAACATACACAAGATTCTTGTGTTTACCATAAGATCAACCATTTAAAATTCTAATAAAATTTTATGTAGTACTTACACATATAGTTTGATGAATATTTTATATCTTATTTGTAACAATGATTATAAAGACTATGCAATACAACACATAATCTACTTGAGTTAAAAAATATATTATCTAAAAATTATAGTGGATTGTATACCATTCTATAGAAAGAGGCCACGTATAGATTTATGTTACAATTATGTAGATCCATAGGTCTATGGAATTTGGAATGAAAATAGTAAATTGTTCAAATTGGTCAATAACAAATAATGCATACATAATATTTTGATCATACTCTGATATATTAAGGTTGAAATATACAATGTTATAATATACTCTGATGTATTAAAGTTATAACATATTCTATAATAGTTGTTATGATTTTACTTAAAGATATCAAAATAATAGTCTTATATATTATACTTCTTATGAGTGAACTCAATTATGTGAAAGTTATAGTTTAATGTACTATAACATATTAAGAATATATTTGAAGCTTAATTGAGCTATGTTCAAATTTAATTCAAATATTTATTAAACATTCTTTGCTAAAATATCAAAAATTTACTCGAATGTCATTTAAAGTTTATTATAATATTATATAATTTTGTTTGAATTTATATGAAAATATATTTGAATCTTAGTTAAAATATTGTTAAAAACTTTTTAGAAGCATAATTAAAATTATTATTTATATATTGAATTGGACTTCAATGTAAAATTCATAAAGAAACTTCAGACATCATAGCCAAACTAAAACCACAAAATGCTTGTCGTTTCTTCCACGAGATCCCCTCCCACTCTCCTACATCCCCCTCCATCGCAAAACCCCACCTGGCCACTCCCATTACTCCACCTCCGACCACAACAACATCGCCGCCTCTTTTTTCATCCATCTCTCTTTTCTTCCTACGCCACATCCCGGCCGCCGCAGCCCGTGGACTCTTCCAGATGCCCCCCGCACGTCTCAGCAACCGCTAATTCCTAGTCCGCGCCGGGGAGTCCGTTTACGAGGGCATGGGCGTCCTCAACACCAACCCCGTCACCAAAACCTCTGTCGACAATGGACTCTCGCCGGAGGGCAAGCAGCAGGTGGCGCGTGCGGTTGTTGAGCTTCAGAGATTGGAGGCTTGTAGTAGGAGCTGCTGGATCTGGCCGTCTATTACACAAAGAGCGTATCAGGCCGCGGAAATCATTGCCTCTGTCAATGGAATTGATCGCAGGTTCCTAGGAACTCAGCCTAGTCCTATTTCGATTTGAGACTATTGTTGATCTTAATAGTTAAATCCTAATAGCAGTTTGACAATATAACAGTAAAATTATGTTAAATTTTGTGAAATGATTTGGACAGGTAATTTAAGATTTAAAGCAATTAGTTTAAAGCAGGTTCATTACTAGGAACTCAGCCTAGTCTTATGATTTGGGAACCCAACTATCATTTCACTTTTAATGTAAATTTATTCTCTATTTTTTAGAACATGTTTGTTAAAATAACAATCAACTATTAATTAAGTTATCTACTTTATGGGCATTCTTTTTCTATGAGAAATGATAGAAGTTAAAGGCTTTGAGATTCTTTCAACTGAAAATTTCTTCTATTTCTCGATTTGTAGTCGAATAGTTCCTGAATATAGTTTTTTGGATGCCCGTGGGCTGGGTGCTCTTGAGGGAAGGAGCTTGGATGCTATTTTCGAGGTGAGGGCTTTATGAAGTTTATGCGGTTGTTTTGATAGGTTTTTGAAACTTTTATCCTTATGAGGTTTATGTCTTTAGAAGTTTTTGGATGGTCTTCTAGGATTTTAATTGTATATATATATTATGGGGCTTATGCTTTTTGAGATTTTTGGTATGCATATATTTTCTAGATTTATATATATTTTAAAATTTTTTGAATGATTTTGTACCTTCCGAGACATTTATCTTCTTTGATTTTTAAATGAATGTAGTCCCTATCAATCACTTGCTCTTATAGAGTATTTCTAGTGAGGATTATGTCCACTACTAGCTTCCAATTGGGGTATTTTGAGTTACCTGCTATCTCGATCATATAATAAAAGCTAAAAGTCTTATATGGACGCGGGACTGCTCGACGCGGCCACGCCGGGCTGATGCGGGTCCGGAAGCCGGGTTTATGTGTTATTCCGGGTCAAATCGGGTCATTCCCGGGTTTCCGGGTCAACCTGAACCCGACCCGATTTTCCAAACGGGTCAATTTTTCAGACCCGAACCCTACCCGTTTCGGATTCGGGTCAACCCTAACCCGAAATGTTCGGGTCGGGTTTTCGGGTCGGGTCCATTATTGACAGCTCTACATTAAACTATGTGTTTCTCCAAAAGCACATTGTAATATTCACATACATCTCCTCTTCCATGCAATAAGTGGAGCTATTTGTTTGTCTTCACCAACTCGAATGTAAATTATGTTCTTCCTTAATTTTGCAATTTTCTAAATGTATCATGATTTAGTTGTTAGGATGACATATAATGGACATAGATTTGAGAAAATAACATCAAAATTATTTTTCCTTTGGTGATGCAAATTCTCTTTTCCAACAAGATTTTGTAGGTATTATCAACAAATGGATTTTAATTCTTTTCAATTTGTGCAAAGTTATGGACAACCCTATATATTTCATATGAAATTCATCAATTGACATTTCTAGTGAATTGCAACAAACATTTGTCCCAATAAGGAGCTATTTTGGAAGTTTATGCTCGATGTTGAGATACCTTAAAAGCAACAAAGTATCTATTGCTTGTTATGCCCCTAGTTCTCATGAGTTTTGCCCGTGTTTGATTCTTTTGATAGTTTTTTTATTAATAACTTCTCATAGGAGCATCAAATAACATGACCTTATCATCTTTAAATAATATTGTAATTGTTTATTCCATTAATAAATGAATCTTTTAGAAATGTTTCTCATGATTCACAAATACGGACATGATTGAAGTTCTCAAAGAAAATAAACCCATTCTAGTCTAATTCATTTACCTCACTAATTTTATTTTTTATTGTTTCAACTATTTGTATCCAAATTTTATAACAAATTAATTGGCTTTTGCTAATTTTGGGTGGATTGTAATTGTTTCATGGCTTTCTTTCCCCCATGAATGTTGCCCTAGAAGATTTGATTGTATTGTTTGATGAATGTTATCTATAATTTTTTGTTGCTGGTGGTGGACATGTTTGATTTAAACTGAACATGAGTAATGAGGTATAAGACCAAATATTTGTTATGAGGTGATTGTTATTGTTCTTTACAATTACGATGATGCTTGATTCAGAACTTCTCACAATTTGCTTAAATTATGTATCTTTCCATCTTTCTTTTATTTTGCAAAGTAATTAACTTGCTTATTTTTTCATTATTAAAATATGAAGCACACCCACATCTTTGTCATGAATTTTCAGGTGTATGCATTTGACAAAATTTCACCAAATAATAAACCACCTCCCATTACAGATGGAACGCCAAATGAAAGTGTTTCGGATGTCTTTGTTCGTGTGACACAACTGATGTCAATTTTAGAGACTCAATATTCTGAACAAACCATTGTTATCATATCCCCAGATTCAGATAATTTGTCGATATTGCTAGCTGGATTAACAGGAGTTGACCTTCGCAGGTATTATAATCAAAATTTTAAGATTCCCCAACATTTCCTAGCAATTTGTTATTTTATTGGTCACACACTCTTCTTTATAAGTTTGAATAACCATCCAATTGAATTGTGCATACTAGTTTTTCTTTGAATTGCTTTCTTATTAATCAAAGCGAAAAATAGCCTACATTTTGTTAGCATGAAAGGTGCAACACATGAAGATTTTTATCAAGACAAAAAGTTCAAAAAACAGTTAAATATATTGTTCAAAATGATCCCATTTAGTACAATGCAGAAGTCTGGTGTGGACTGCAGCCATTTCATATCAAAGAATTTTGGTAGAAATTAGTTGGTTGAGATTTGAGAACTTTCAAGGCTGATAGTTCCTTTGATAAATTCAATTTAAGAATGAACGGCTTCTAATTTTTGGGCAGGATCTATCCTATAAATTGGCGAAACTCCACGAAGAGAGTGAAGAACAAGAAAAATTGGAGGAAATATGAATCGTCTAGTGCTGAGATTATCACTGTCAATTTTATGGAAAATGCTACTTCTGCAAACATATTATTTACAAAATTTGCATTTGATTGTGGGCTGCTCATTGTTTGTCTTATTACAAACAATGAAATCGCCCTAATAAAGTAAAAATGTAATCAATTTAGAAAGAAAAGCATATAATTCAAGATGCTTGGATAAAATTTTCTAATTCCAAGCTCATTGTGAATTGTTTAGCTTGACTGGTATTCATTACTGTTGGCAATTGATATTTTTTGTCTATGTTGCATGCAGGCACTGGGATCTATCATTCAAGCCTGGGGAGGTTCGAATGGTGGATCCTGTAAGCATCCCCACTTACAAAATGCCAGCATCAGCTGTGTACAAGTGTATGAATCCCCCAAGTTGTACATGATTTTTTACTTGGTTGCAATCAAAAGAATAACACATGTAATTGTGCATCTTATTGTAGTCAAACGAGGTATTATTTTAATCAAATTAACACATGCTGCTAACTTCTTTTTTAAACTAGATTTGCTCATTGTTCTAACTCCCAAGTCATAACTCCACCGGACAATGTAGCTAACTCAGTCTATTCAATGAACCAATTAAATGATTTAATTATTTAATTTAATATATTTAGAATAAAACAATATTAAACTTAATAAATTAATTTAAATTTAATATATTTTAATTTAAATAATAAGCATTAAATTCCTAAAATAATTATTTGTCAAAGAATCTCCAACTAAGTATTTTTATGTGGCTCCACCATGCCATGTGAGTTTTTAATATATACAAAACCAAAAAATAATATAAATAGTATTAAGAGAAAGTTATTAACTGTTTGGTTGAAATACAAAAGGGTGTTAACTATTTCAAATGCAGAGGCTTTAAAAATTTTGATGTTTGGTTGGAATACAAAGTGAAGTAAAGTAAATTAAATGTAGAGTAAATTATTTTAGTTTTTTTTTTTAAGTAAATCAAATATGCTCAATTTTAAGTCAGAACCATTTATACCAGAAGCAAGTTTGTTTGATCACCTCCCACCATCGCCATCATCTGCCAGTCGCCGCTACCACCTAATGATGATAACCATCGCTGCAACTCACCACTGGCGACCACTGTCGTCGTAGGTCACCACCAACACCCACCACAGGCCACCACCACGACAAATTGCCCCAACCGCCGGCCACTAACATTGCCAGCTACCACCATTACTGGACACCACCACTGGCCAACACACCCGACAACCGCCGCCACAACCTCCCTCCAACGACCACCACCACTACCTGCCCTCGCCGCCAATCGCCACTACAGTTGATTACCATTGCTACCACCACCTCCTGTCCGCCACCACGATGCCATTACCAACCTCCACCATTGCTAGCCACTATCGCCGTCAGACGCATCCATCAACCACCTTGCCATACGACACCACCTGCCACCTACTACCACCACCACCACGACCGCCTCCACCATCAATCGCTATCATTTTTGGACTTTACACTACATTCATCAATTTCAAAAAAAAAAAAAATTCATTCACTTGCATTTACTTTACTTTCATAAAAAAAAAAAAAAAATTTTTTCTTTTGCTTTTTTTTTTTTTTATAAAAAAAAAAAAAAAAAAAAAAAAAACTTCAAATTTTTCCTTTTACAATGCATTCCTTTTACACTTTATTTACTTTTTATAGTGCATTCTTTTTTTAGCTTAACTAAATAGCCCCTACGACCATCTCCAACCAAAAATCTCATTTTTCACTTCAAAATGGCGTGAAACTAAAAAAAAAATGCCGTGATTCATCCAATCGAACTCCAAATTTGAGAAAACCACCTTCTTTCTTCTTTTCGTGCGTTTCTTCGGCAAGTTAGGTAGAGACAGAAAAATAACGGGGATGAACAGTGCAACGCCAATATTGGCATCCCACTGTTCACCCGCAAGCAAATAGCAGAATTTTTACCGTTCCGCTGGAGCTCTGTAGCAATGTCATTCAAGCATTTGAAGATCGGTTGGAGATGTCGTAAGTGATATAAGACTAAATAGATAAATTAAAATTCTCAAATTCACAACACACGCTATATATTTTAAACAGATTGTTTAATTATTTTTTTTTCTAATTTGAATGATTTTTATTTTTTTAGATAACAGTAATTTATTTATTTATTTATATTCTGTAAAAAATAATTTTTATCTATTTATTAATAACAATTGATCTAACATGAATAATTTATCAATACAAATATATAATGTGAATTTATTATATAATATGTAGGTCTAAATTATATCTAAATATATAACATTGATAATAATTTATATTAAATTTATATGTTTATATGTGAATTAAATTTATGTTAAACATGAATCAAATTTAAAGATCGAAAATTGCATAAGATATTATTTATGTTTGAATTTAATTTATTTTTCATCATAAATTTATATTATTATGTAATTATTACATCATCATTATTTCATTTAGATTTTATTTAAATAATTTTAATATTAATTATACCATCTAGTTTAACCCAATCTAACCATTAAACCTTGAACTTCCATTTCTTTCGGTTCTATGTCCAATTCAGTTTGTGTAACCTTGAAGTTCAAAGCTAGTGATAGGGTGTGGCTAATAAATACAGCCTAGAGGAGTAAATTGAGGGTGATATAAGAGAGAGGTGGTTGTTGCTAGAGTCGATAGCTAAACCACCATGAAAAGGGTTGAAAAGGCAGATTTTGGTCCTCCTATCCATCTATGTACCCTAGAAAGCAATCACATCCTGTGGCCATACAAATGAAGCCATGTGGGCCCATGAATGAGCTAATGAGTTAGAGGGTTGGCTAATGAGTTGGATGAGTTTGATGGGTTGGACAAAGATATTATGTGTTGTGTAAGTGCTTATAGTCTTGTTTGTTGTTTAGTTGACTGTTGGATGTGGGCTGATAGTTTGAATTCAAGAGGGTCGCCAAATTATCAATAGATTGGATATGGTTCAATGGTTCACAAAATGGCCAGAGCATCTTCATGTTGGGATAAATCATTGGAGGGAGTAGGCTTATATTTTGAAATATTGTATGTATTTGAATTATTAAAATGTATTGGAATGATGTGACCTAACCTTAAGTAAGTTGAAAGAGGAGGTCAAAAATACACTGGTAATTTTCATCATCATCTTCTTCATTAGATGAAATATTTTGGGTCTTTGTTTTGTCTTGATTTACAGAGGTGGTAGGTAGACCTAGGAAGATGCAAAAGTGCTACTGTGCAAATTAGAATTTTGTTTCTTTTTGTCATCTACAAGATGTTGTGCATCAAGATTTAAGTCAAATGCATGCTCAAGAGAATTTCTCATTTTTTATGGGTATATAAGCAACTTTTTGAAATCATACAAAGTCATTTTTTACTTATAATACTCTATTTTTAATATTTCTTTTATTATTATATGTTGCATATGCTTTTCTTCTAAACTTCCTTGTAGAACTTTCTTTTTAATTATTTTTGTAGAATGTCATAGTTCATATCATGCAGCATTATTACTTACCAAGGATAAATTCCTAAAAAATGTGTCTGCCCATGGGAATTTTGAATGTCTTATACAATAAATCTAAAGATGAATCTTGATTCTATAAAAAGTGGAAAATTGGTTTTGTAATCAGAGTAGTTAAATTAGTTTTCCTACATCAACTTGACACTTAACTTTATAAAATGCTCCATCCATGACAAACAAGCCCTTAATTATATATATATATATTTCACAGATTTACTTTACATATAATCATTGGGCAATTATTATCTATTATTCTTTTTATTAGTTATAAATATTTTTGAAGGAACTTGTAAATAATTTTAATTATGCTTCTATTTTCATAATAAAATTAATCAATTAAAGCTTTGTTTGGGGCAATTTTAAAATTGCTCTTATTTCTCAGCTATAGTTTTAAAATTATGATTTTAAAAATAAAATTTTAAAGACAAAATTTCAAAGATATATTATTTTTTACTAATTATTTTTTTCGTAAAAAATAGTCAAAAAATTAGTCCAAATGAAGCCTAAATAAGCATGATAATAATAATACTTTAATAATCATTCTTAAAAGCTTTGCAAGCACATCAATGAGAGAAGTACTAATAGAACTTTATAGTATTAATTTTAGTTAATCTTTATTGATCTTTTAGCAAGGCTTTTCTTATAAATCTTGGTATCACAATACTTTCCTTGTAATTCATTTAAATTATATAAATTTATTTGAATAAAATTAAAGATTAATAAAATTTAAAAGATCAATTTTCTTATATTGATTTCTTGTATTTTTTAAAAAATTCATTAATAATTTTGATGTCTAATGAAAAATAAAAATACAAAGGAAATTGAAAATATCATGTAAATGAAAAATTAAATTTTATAAAAATAATTTTTAATAAAGAATAAAATAAAAAAATTCATATATTTAATAGGATCATTTGAGAAATATCTTAAGGATTAAACATCAAATCATAATGATTATATATTAAATATAAATTAAGAAAAACTAAGGAATTAATTAATGGTGAGTTATGGACGATCATGATTTAACTCAAATAAATTGATGCTATATCAGCGTTGATGGATATGTTATGTCTGAATAAACTTATGAAGTCTCAGAGCTTATGAATTCTGCCAATCTGAAACCCAAAATGCAGTTGAAATCTATGGGTTCCATTGATTCAGCCTCTAGGAAAAGGAAAGTGGAAGGTAAAGGTAAAAAGAAAGGCGGGGACTCTTCCCCTTCCCTTAATTAATGTATTCCTTTATTTTTTGGAATTGTAGAGGGGCAAAAATAAAAGAGGCCTCTCTTTACTTGAGGGAAGTCATGAAGGACAATGAAGCTTTTTTCATTGGATTAGCTGAAACAAAATTATCTGATATAGACAGGAAGGTGGTTAATAGGATCATTTGCACATATTGGGATTTTTTTCACCAATCTACTGTTGGCACCTCTGGCAGCATCTTGGTTCTTTGGAAGAAAACTTTGGTCTCCTTCTCTGTAATTTCTCATTCTTCTCAATTAGTGCTTGGGACTATGGAGACTCCTAACAAGGGTCGTTGTCTTGTGGCTATGGTTTATGGTCACAAAGATTACCAACATAGAAGAGCACTTTGGGATTGTCTTGGACAGTCTGTTTCTTGTGGGCTTCCAACGATCGTTGGTGGTGCTTTCAACTGCCTCCTTTCCAAGGATGATAAGAGAGGCGGGAAAAGGTTCTGTTTATTAAAAGGTCCGAAAGAGATGAAGCTTTTCATGGCTAATCATGATCTTCATGATATTGGGATCATAGGCCTCAGATTCACTTAGTGTAATAATAAGCAAGGGACGGTCAGGATTTGAGAAAGATTGGATCGCTGCCTCTTGAACTCGGCGGCCCTTCAGCTTGTTCCTGCGGCTTCGATTAGACATTTAGCAAGAGTTGCTTCTGATCACTGTCCCATTGCCTTTAAAATTGATGAGGTACATCATTCTAGCTCCAAAATCTATCGGTTTGAGGATACCTCGAAGTCTTATACTACAACCTGGAAGATTGTCTCTCAAGCCAGGGCAAAACATGACTTTGGCAGTGCTGCTGAAGTTCTCAACCGCAAGGTAAAGAGAACCATGAGATCACTTTACTTTTTGAGTAAAAATAAATGTAAAAATCTTAATCAACTCAAGGTTGATTTGAAAGAGGAAATTCTTAAACTACAACTGGCTGAAGTTTCGGAGGATGGCCCCAGCACTTATAATTTGAATCTCCTTTGCGCCAAAATTCATGAACTCAATCTTATTTTGTTCAGATTGTCCACTTGGTGGAATCAAACGGCTAAGGCTATTTGGACTGAAGAAGGAGATAAGAACTCCAAATTTTTCCATGATTATGCATCGGCCAGGAAAAATGGGAAGCTTATTAGACAGATTAAAGATGGTGATAATTTGATTGTGGACGTGGACCAAATTGAAACTGTTTTTTTGCAGTTTTTCGAGAATAAGTGGAAAGCCAGAAACTGTTTGAACACTAATTGGCCTAAGGCTACTCAAGACCAGAGGATTGACGATCATGACAAAGCTCTGCTTACTGCAGATTTCACAGAAGCTGAGTTTATCTCTGCGGTTTTTCAACAGAAAACTAACAAATCCCCGGGCCTTGATGGAAGTACTTCTTCTTTTTTCAAATGCTATTGGGAAATTGTCAAAGAAGCAATGTGAAATGCAGTTAATGAGTTTTTCACATCTGGGCATATGAATGCAGCTTGGAAAGATACTCTTGTTGTTCTTATTCCCAAGATCAATAATCTGTTTACACCATCAAATTATCGTCCCATTAGTCTTTGCCAGACTATCTACAAGGTTGCCTCATCTATGATTGTTAACATACTGAAATGTTGTATTCCAAAAATCATATCTGAGGAACAAGTCGCCTTTATTCCGGGTAGATCCTTATCTGATCATTGTTTGCTTGCACAAGAAATCTTTAATAAATTCTGGATTTCAAAAAGCCAGAAGGGACTTATGGCTGTTAAGTTAGACATGGCTCAGGCGTTTGATAGTATGTGTTGGGATACATTGTCTCTCGTCCTCAATTGGTTTGGCTTCCCGGATAAATTTTTGAATCTTATTATGGAATGCGTGACTAAGGTACGCTTCTCTATTCTTTTAAATGGTAAAATTACAAGTTGGATTGAAGCAAATAGCGGGTTTCGACAAGGTTGCCCCATGTCTCCTTATCATTTTATAATCTGTTCCCAACTCTTATCCAATGCCATTATTCAAAGAGGTCATTATTTGGGAATCCAAACTTCCACTAGAGCTCCAAGAATTACTCATCTCATGTATGCGGATGACGTTCTTCTTTTCGGAACCGCTTCTCTTCCCATGCTTCATTCTATGATGAATCTTATTGATGAATATTGTAGTTGGACTGGTCAATCCATCAATAGTTCAAAATCTCAGATCCTTTTCGGGAAATCTGTTGACAGTACTTTAAGGAAGAAGCTTGCCAAGGAATATGTTTTCAGAATTGTAAATGAATTGCATTATCTGGGAATCAAAATTGTTTTGAGAAGATTGGTTAAAAACGATTTCCAACCCATCATCGACTCTGCCTTAGAGAAAATCAATGCATGGGGTGCCAGATTTCTTTCTCCCGCTGGCAAGATAATCCTTACTAAATCATCACTATTTGTTGTTTTAACATTCATCTCTACTCATTCTCTTGTTCCAAAATCTGTTCTACATGAGTTTGACAGAATCTGTAGAGATTTTATTTAGCATAAGGATTATGGTAGACGAGGTCTTCATTACGTTGCTTGGGCTGATTTATGCAAACCAAAAAGTATGGGTGGCATGGGATTATTTTCTGCAGTAACTAGAATAAGTCCTCTAAGGGCTAGATTATCTTGGAGATTTTTAAATAATCCTTCTTCATTGTTGCATATATGCATTGAAGCTAGATATGACAATGATATTTGGCAAGGTAGTCCCAAACACAAACATAGCTACTCGGCTGCTTGGTCCATTCTTTTGGATGGGGCTACATCTTTAAGACCAATAGTTAAATGGCAAATTGCCAATGGAAAAAACATTAATGTCATGAATGATATCTGGTTAATGGACAAATGCTTCAGCAAATGGCCAGTACTTGCGGACTGTGTGGGTCTTAATGGTTTATCTTTACAACACTTTATTCAACAAGATGGTCAGTGGGACTTGAATGAATTAAATCGGTTTTTCAACATAGCGACGGTGAACCTCATTTTACAAAATTGTGTTATCAATAAGGAGTCTGAAGACCAGATTGTGCCACTTTTTCAACTCTCTGGTAAGTCTATTACTGCTTTGGCTTATGCCGAAGTTATCAAACATAATACTCCAAATGATGATTTCGGATTTTCTAATTGGTTAAGGAAGTTGAAACTTAAACCAAAGATTGAATTTTTTTGGTGGAGAATGAGTAGATTTGCTTTACCCACCAACGAATTCCTGAAGTATAGAAGACTCCAGCACTCAGATTTATGTCCTAGAGGTTGTCCTGAAACCGAAGTTTGCTTGCACATTGCAGTCCGCTGTAAGCACCTCATTGACATTATCAGTAAATTGCAGAGTTGGGGGTTTTCTATTCCAATTTTTCATTCTCTAGATAACTGCTTATCGCAGCTCAGAAAGCTTGCTAATGATCACGTGAATACAGTTAAAATTTATTGTACTGATGTCTATTACTCCTGGAAATGCCGAAATGATAGCCTGCACGGTAATCCTCTCTTACCATTAACAGTTGTGGCTGCCAATATTCTATCTACTATAAAATCCAAGTTCCCAATGCTAGTTGACTGGGGTGCTTCTCTCCATTTGGAGTCTAACTCTTCTTGGCACCCCCCACCATTAGATTGAATTAAAATCAACTTGGATGCTTCGCTCCTTGATTCTAACATTGCTGACATTGGTGGCATTGTCGGGACCACAAAGGCAGACTTTTATTTGCATTTGGAAGACAGAAGATGCATTGGGATATCAATCAACTTGAATTTGAAGCTACTGTGGCTTTGAAAGATTTTCTTCATGAAGGGATATTTGATTACAAAGGAGTTATAATTGAGGGAGACAACCTTAACGTGATTGAATTCCTTCAAAATTCAATGAAGAAATCAAAACCGATGAGCTTGATTTCGGAGAATTTATGTTTCCTCAGTGACTTCAATACGGTTGTCTTTCATCATATCAACCCTAATGTGAATAAAGCCGCAGACTTGTGTGCAACCTTAGCTTTGAATTGGAACTTTTGTTTTGATGTTTCCTCTTTCTCTGATATTTCTTCTTCATTACTTCACATTTTGAAGAAGGAATATGAGAGTTGCATTAATTGATTAGCTTGTAATAGTTTTTCCTTCCTTTCTTTAATGCATTTTTTTGCAATCCTAAAAAAAAAAGAATAAACTTATTTAGCATTACTCAATTAGGGAAGTAATTATTCCAATAAAAATCTGTCATATTGGCATGCTTAAATTTTCATTTACTCATAAAAATAAAAACCCAATTATACCCTCTTTCAGAAAGGGATTTAATATAGTCTTTTTTTTAATGTATCTAACTCTTATTTTTAATTAGATGCACATTTGTTTCAATAAGAGATTTATTTTTTAAAATTTTTTCTGTAAAATTTAAAAATATTATTAACTATTGTTATCTATTATTCTTATTAATAAATAATAACTATCGAGTATGAAAAAAATTGCTCTTATTTCTTCTACCTCTGTTCAAACTTTCCCTTTCTAACGCCGCCGGTGAGAAGCAGAAGGCTCGGATGATTCAAATTTCGATCAGCACTCCAAGCCCGACGGATCAGGAGAAGGATTCAAATTTCCATCGGCACTCAAAGCCCGACGACGGATCAGGAGATTTCTCTATACGTGTAAAGCAGGAAATGAGTTTGCAAATGAAAGCTGTTTCCTTCACCTGTAATCAGTTCACTCCGCCTATTTCGCGCGCGCTCCTTCCGCTTCGACTGAGTATGGAGCTTCCTCTTCTTCTTCACCTATTTCGCGCTTGCTACTTCCGCATCGAGGCTTCCTTCCGCATTGAGGCTTTTTCTTTACCTATTTCTTCTGTAATCGAGCATCTTCTCCAGTTTCACCGAAGTTCTACCTTGCCTCTCGTTACTTCCCAAAATGGCCACCACCGCTGCTTCTGCTTGCGCCGTCACAATGATTGGGCTGCTTCATTCATTTCGGAAATACCTTCATAAGCCTCCAGTCACGTTACCCTCTTCTCGGAAAAATTTGCTTCAGCCTCCAGTCAAGTTACCCTGCTCTCCATTTCATCCTTCTAGCATTTATTTCAATTCTCCCACCTCCAAATATCCTTTCTTTCCTATGGCTGTCCGACCCTTGATCACTAACCGAAACCCCTCTTCCATTACTATCCCACCCAAGGCTAAACATGGATCATCCCGCAAGGTGAATATCAGATGCAGATTCGGTGGTAAGCTCATTCCACGCCTTAGCGACGGTGCTCTACATTACGTGGGCGGACGAACGCGTATAACAGACTTCCGCCGAGATTTGACACTACAGGAGCTCTACTGCAAAATGGAAGAAATCTATGGCGGACCTGCTAACATATGCTACAAGCTTCCTGATCAAAACCTTGACAAACTCGTCTCCATCTCATCTGCAAAAGATTTGGACAATATGTTGAACAAGTATGACTACCTCAAAAAGACCGCTAAATGTGGATATCCGAGGCTTCATGTCTTCCTCTTCCCTTTATCAAATAGGGAGAATTCTTTGGATGACGTCAATGACGCGGCTTGCAATAACAATGGGCTGAGTTGCATCGAGGAAGTCAATAGAGCTACTAAGGCTAATGGATTCAAAACATACAAGAATGACGACCAAAAAGCCGCCACCTCCATGTTGCGTGTAGAAGACAAAGGTGATGGAAGTGGTATGTCTCATATCATTTTCTTCTTCTATTATTGCTTTGGTTTCTTTCAACTCATCATTAATTGACTTTTTAGGGAATGAAATTACTTCCGTGCCAGAGCATCAGAATTTTTTGGCTCATTCAAACATTAATGACGAAATAAATGTGATCCCTCAAATAATCAATCCATCAAATGATGCGCTTTATGTTTTACCAACTTATGAAGAGCCTCGTCAAATTCATTACATTACACCCTCTTCTTTTGCTATGGCCCATGAACCTCAACCGGTAAATATGATTACTCTTTCTCAAAACTCTTATACACCGTTTCCTTATTCACATGCTAAAACAATGACAGAAATTTAATTTTATAAAATATCATAAAATGTAATTCTTATTTAGTATGTATTATTCATGTATTTAGACATTTTATGCAACTATTGTAAATCCTTTGAAGCCTCGTCATGTGTGTTTTTTGCAGCAAAATCATCAATTTGATTCATATTTTGGGCATTTTAGACATACACGAGGTTTGCAAATTTCTTTATTAGAGTAATAAGTCTCAAATATCAATGTCCAATTATTATTATTATTAAATTAAATACAATTATACTGATAATTTTTTTTAATGTTTTACCAACTTATGAAGAGCCTCGTCAGATTCATAATATTACACCCTCTTCTTTTGCTATGACCAATGTACCTCAAGCGGTAAATATGAGTATTCTTTCTCAAAACTCTCATACACTTTTTCCTTATTCACATGCTAAAACAGTGACAAAACTTTAATTTCACAAAATCTCATAAAATGTAATTCTTATTTAGTATGTATTATTCATGTACTTAGACATTTTATGCAACTATTGTAAATCCTCTGAAACCTTATCATGTGCATTCTTTGCAGCAAAATCATCAGTTGTATGGAGAAGTTTTTCCTGAGATATTTGATTCAAACCCAATCATCCAAAATCAGGATCCTTGGAATGTTCCTGGTCCCTCGAACATTGATTCATATTTTGGGCATTTTAGACATACACGAGGTTTGCAAATTTCTTTATAAGAGTAATAAGTCTCAAATATCAATGTCCAATTATTATTATTATTAACTTAAATACAATTATACTGATAATTTCTTTTTATGTTTTACCAACTTATGAAGAGCCTCGTCAGATGCATTACATTACACCCTCTTCTTTTGCTATGACCAATGTGCCTCAACCGGTAAATATGATTACTCTTTCTCAAAACGCTTGTACACTTTTTTCTTATTCACATGCTAAAACAATGACAAAACTTTAATTTCACTAAATCTCATAAAATGTAATTCTTATTTAGTACGTATTATTCATGTACTTAGACATTTTATGCAACTATTGTAAATCCTCTGAAGCCCATCATATGTGTTCTTTGCAGCAAAATCACCAATTGTTTGGAGAAGTTTTTCGTGAGATATCCGATACAAACTCAATCTTCCAAAATCAGGATCCTTGGAATGTTCCTGGTCCCTCGAACATTGATTCATATTTTGGGCATTTTAGACATACACGAGGTTTGCAAATTTCTTTATAAGAGTAATAAGTCTCAAATATCAAAATCAAATTATTATTATTATTAACTTGAATATAATTATACTGATAAAATTTTTTTATTTTTGGCTATTAAGATATAGGCACTTATGAAGCAGATGAAGATCTTTGTAATATTGTTGAATTAGTTGAATCAGTGCTTCAGTACCCTTGAGGTTTGTGTCTTCACTCTTTTATAATGATCAAATGAATATAGTACAATATTCTTTTATTTGATTATGATATATATAGACAACTCGAGTTTCACAATGCTTCTATACTAGTTTACCAAAAAGTTAAGGTGATACATTTTGTTTTTTAGAAATTAGTTTCTTCAGTGTATCTAGACAACAAGAATCTATCATTTATCTTATATTTTATTAAATCATAATTGTGTAAGTGGAATATTAGTTGGTTTGACTGAATTTTTCCTTGACCTTTCGCAGCAAGTGTTAAGCAGGATATCACCATGATTTGGTTTAAATCCATCCAAGTAGTTTTTGTAACCTTAATCTTATCATCTCATGTAATCCTCTTTTCACCTTATTAAATTATAAATTGTGAATTTGATAATTTCTTTTGGTGCCTATATTTAATGCAATTTAGCTATTCTGACTTCTCTCTTTTTATTTTTCCTCTCAACCTGTCTTGCCTGTCGCTTACAAGTGGTTGAAGTCTTTTGTTTTTCTTTAATTTATATATCGTTTGGTCAAAATTGTATTGCTCATGTAATTTTCTATATTATTAGAGGTCCTCATTCTCTTCAGCTATTTTTCTCAGGTTCACTAACAAGCAACTCCCAGAGGTCATGTTGCTGGAAAACTTACAAGGTACTATTTACTCAACTGATATAGAAATACTATCCGACAATGAAATGAAATATGATGGAGGATACCCATCTTTATCTTTTGTAGGCATTTTATTTCGTTAGATGACATAGTTATGCATTTAATGCATTTTGTTTGCTCATATTCTTCCTGACAATGGAATACATCCACAATCTCAGGTTCTTTCCATTACATCCCACTCCCATGTCCATGCCCACAACTAGTTTGATCTAAGCTATCTTGAAATTCCAGGACCCAACTCCATAGCTGTTGCAACAACACCATATTCTGCCCTTCCAGAAATTCCCACTTCTATTGCTCAAGGCCATGTAAAAGTTTATATTTTTCAAATTTATATTTCTTGAAGCTTATTAATATTAATTAGTTGATTACATTTACATGAATTGTCATTGTTTACATAGGTTTGCTGGGGTGCTCCTTTTGCCACTTGTTTTAAAACAGAGCTTGCTCATCTTGAACAAAACCAGCCCTATGAAGCATTGTCTTGTTTTGATGAAGCATTTGTGGTAAGGAACTCAAATTTATATTGCAGGTGTTATGATAGATATATAATGCTATAAGGAACTCGAATTTATATTGTTATGCTACAAATTAGCATTTAACACCATTGATCATTCCCTGCATCATCTGAATTCTCTTCAAACTAGAACTTAAGATTATGGGGAATTTCATTCAAATAATCCAATGCTAGCAGTATATATGTTTGTTCAACTGCAAAATCAAGCGTGTCACAGTACCAATTCCTCTAAAACTCTTGCATAGATCACTTAGCTTAAACAAGTTTGGTCCATACTTATTTTGGGTTATTTATATGACTTTCCTAATCAATATTTTGAAGAGTATTTATTCTGGTAAGCTTTTAAAGGTCATTTTAAACTTTTCTTTTTGAATGTTGTTATTGTTAATGATTCTGTGACAAATGGGTTTGGATTAATCGCAGTGGTGTAGAGCTCTTCCAAACCATTTTTATTCACTTAAGCCTAATGATGGACTCCCAATTCGGTCGTCTTAGAAAAGGCTGTCTGATTTTGTCGTCATTGAAAGGACTATTATGAGGCCTTGAGTAATTCAAGATCAGATTTTTATGCACAACAGAAAATCCTTTCCCTTTATTCTTTCTTGATTTGAAAAAAAAAAGGCAGCTGCGGGATTAAAAGTAAAATATAAATTTAACTAGCCATTATGAGCGTTTTATGATGTTTCTTACTGAGGTCTGGTCTATAAACAATAAAAGTATTTGATTATCATTTCAAAATAAATGTCCAACAGAACTTTTTTTCTTTTTGGGAAAATTTTGAGTGATGAAGCAGAAATTTGATGTAAGCGGCATTTGATCCTAGTAACTTGGTCATACTTCCAAGATGTATACTTAGATATATCTGGCAATGACACCAAATAGCAGATTTTGGACTCAACCACAAGGCCAAAATGTTAAATAATAAGTTAAATGTCCTACTCAACTTGGTATTCATATAGGTTATTAGTTTGTGTTTCTTTACTAAACTAATAAAACAAATCTACCCACAATTATGAAGCTTAATCAATAGACAAGCGAGCTGCCAACGTATTATATTATTCAATCTTCTAGTTCTGTCTGATTTTCTAGCTATGGCATCCTCAACAGCCCAAGCCGCTTTTAAAAGATGGTTGCCATTTGTTAGTGTCATTCATCATTAACTGAAATCGCTGACCCATTTTGACGGTCCAAGGTCCTAGCATGATCAGTGCAATGGAGGAGATGGCAGGACTCTCTCGCCATCTTGGTTCTTTATCTCTTCTCGCAAAGCACCGAATTAACTGGATAAGAACTGCTATTAAACTTAATATGGAAGCTCAGAACTAATCTCATGCAAGGCAAATCCTCGACCTCCTCTCGAAGGCTCTACAAAGCAAGCAGAAATGCAGGATGAACTGAAGAGCCTGGTTAAAGAGGGCTCTCAAACAAGTCAATTGATCTAGAGGAAGATTCTTCTCAATTCTGTTAAGGCAAAGTAATCTTCATGCTTCCGTTATATTATCTGCTCCACTATCACTCTTCTTGCACAAATACGCCTAACTCTTAACATTCCAAGCAAACAAAGCTAGCTAGAAAACTTCTTCAAGCCACTGTTGGTGGCGACGAGGGATCAGCCAATATGCCACAAATCCTGGAGGTGATGTTGGATAACCCAGGCCCGAACGGTGGAGCTGTGAAGACTATAGGAAGGAAGCTCTCTTCAATGTGCACGAATGCCTTGCAGCAATTCTGCGTAAACCTTATGTGTAAGGTGAGGAAAGAAGGAATAAGCTGTAGCATTTTATGAAGTCAGGGATGAGTTGGAATAAAGAGGCTGTAGGCATTGTCGTGCCGACGGTGACAAGAAAGAGGATGGCATAAGCTGCTGCTGCTGCTACTGATTTGGCCATTGTTGCTGTACTTGTAAGGTAAAGTATGTATGTTTTGTTGTTTAGAGAGATGAGCTGTGGATGGGGATTTATATATAGTTTACAAGTGAGATTAGAATGTGTAATTAAGTTATATGCAGAGGTAATGAATTTAATTGATTTTTGAAGGTTTTAATCGGTTTCACCTAAGCTGTACGTAGTAATTAGTGTAACTTAAGAGCACTAAATGCTGATAACTGTTCACAGGATCTTTATTGGGATCACTTTCGCGTTGTTTATTGAAGAGGAGTTGAAAGGCTCCATTTGGGGGAGAAATTGTTACGTGCGGAGTCCTCATGTAAAGTTACGTCCTGACTCCAATCAAATGACGACGGGAATGAGCAGATCTACCTAAATCCCGGGAGCAACTGCCAGGGCTTCATTGCTTACTTAATTGCCTTTTTGTGATTAATCTCAGCCCATTATATTTAACCAATTGATCAATTCTCTACCGTTAGATATAGTATATCATGCATATAAAACTTTCAGTTATGTATTGTTGAAAGGTATGCATAGGATAGAATTAGAGTTCAGATTTCAGTTTTGCCTTCTCCCATTTCTCTGCTACGGTTTGCTGTAATTCTTCAACTCATGCAGTGACTTTTAGCTTGATAAAATTACTTCAACTCATTGGTAACAAAGCCATTAAAATTATTTGAGATGTGTTATATATTCGTGCTTGAGTACCTAAGATTTCTGAGACCTTTTTCCTCGAAGAGAAAATTAAGTCTCTTATATATATTTAAGAAATACTTGAAATCTTCAGGATATTACCCTTTGATTGGACCATAATAATATCAATATTTTGTGTTCTTCCGATGTTCACACATTTTTTTGAGGCGTGTCTTATTTGATTTTTTTTTTTTTTTGAGAAAAAAATTATATTTTATGAGGCTTTTAATTTTTTTGAGATTTTTTAAAGAAATTTGTATCTTTTTAGACTTTTTAACTTTATGAGATTTTTGGAGGACTGGATAATCCTACCTTATGAGGCTTTTAGCCTTATGAGATTTATGTCTTTTGAAGTTTTTGGATGGTTATGTAACTTACAAGGTTTATGTCTTCTAAATTTTAGTTGTATCAATATCTTATGAGACTTATGTCTTCTGAGATTTTTGGTATGCATATACTTTCTAGATTTTTTTTAAATTTTTGAATGATCTTGTATCTTATGAGAATTTTATCTTCTATGATTTTTTTTATGATTGTAGACTATCAATCACTTGCTCTTATAGCCATGGATATGTCCACTACTAGCCTCCCATTGAGGTTACCCGTTGGGAAAGTGGAGATCATGTTTGCTAATACCATAATGAGATCTTTTTAGTGATTACATGCATTACTAGTTTCCCATCGATGTTATATCATGGGCAAGCCTTGGAAGTGTTTTTGGTAGATGCAATGAAATAATAATTTATTTTAAAGAAATACTTACAAATACTTTTTTATTTCCAATAGAAATTTAGATAATGAATGTATTTTTTATTGAATGTCCTCTTACATGATGATAGTTATAATATTGAGATTGATCTTCACTGTTTGAAATGTTCTAAATTTTGGATCTTCATTAAGATGTTAGCCCTTAGTGTATTAATGAGGTGTAATTGCGTTACTCATGCTAACTATGGTCTCTTGACATCTCTTGCCTTTCTTTAATAATAGGTCAATTAATTTCTTATATTGAATTCTTCCATTTGTTAAAGGATTTTTCGAACTACTTTAAATAAACATTGATGGTATTGTTAATAGTTACTTGAGCTTCTACTTGATTAATGAGATCAGTATAGGAACGGATTATCTTAAGCATTAATGAGGAGTAGAAAAGTATAGGGAAGAGATCTCCAAGATATACACCTTGTAACAACTCTAGATCCACTCTTGGGATTTGGCATGCTTTAGAAGTGAAACTTTTAAAATACAATTTTTACTGTTCCTCCTTATTTTAGTGAATTCCAGAAAGATGGGAGGAGTTCTTAAATGATTCTTCAATTGACGTTGAATTGTTCAACGCAAAGTCTAGTTAGATTGGTGAAAGTATAAATAGATAGTCAAATCATGTGCGAGCATGTCCCTTTCGAGTTATGGGAAAAACCTAGCAAAGGATTACATCAGAACCATGTAGAATGTGCATAACGGTTTTTAGTGGTCAATGTGCTCATAAGGGGTTAGAATTTCCATTATATGGATCAATTAAAAGCAATTTAAACCCATTGAAATATGATGTTGAAGAATTGCATTGATCAGGGATTAAGATTCCATAAAGATTTATAGGATTTGAACATAAAGTTCTTCCATCTTGCATACATAATCCTTTAAATTTAGGCTTAGGTGTATATTCTAATGTACTTGATTGATATATAATTTACCATTCATTGAAAAAGTATGCATAGTATATTGGGAAATTTTATAATGGACAACATCAAACTCTTACATACTAAAAAATTTGTGGTGGTAGCCTATGTTTATTTTTTATAAATGGAAAAAATCCAGCACACATGAAAAAAAAATTGTGGGAGATAGAATTTTTATGTGAAAAACTTGACGGGAAAAACCATAGGACCTAACCTAATTGCAATAATTCAGTAATTTCTATTATAGTGATTACAAAAATCAAATGTCTACAAGCGAACAATCAAAACTCAATGATAGGAAATTATTTTAATAGTTAAATAACAAATAGTAGGATGATAGAAGTATGACGATGGTGGTACCTATTGTTGATAATGGTCGTCAGCAGGGATAACTTGAAATTGCTATAGAGTTCTTCGACTCTCTCAACTCTTGAACCACCCCTTCATGTAGGTCATGAGGGCCTATTTATAACTTTTTTGAGGGGTATTTTGATAATTTTGTTCATAATCCAAAACACTATAGTACGGTCCATATTGTTCCCCTTGATTATAGATTATTTATCAAATTTATAACTACTTTAATGATATCATAATTGAATAATCTTATGCTTGTTAGATTGGTCTCATTGAGCCGCTCAATTTGACAATAAGCGCACCATATATGGAAACTATTTTATCCTTAATTAATATTCAAAAGTTTTCAAATATGTTTCATGTGCTTGATTGATGCTTATTTGGAGTCAGATCGAATCATTTATGGTGTTGATGGGCTTGTCTTGTCGTAACATTCAGTTCAACTATAAGTTTGTTAAAATCAAAATTTGGTGTCCCTTAGAGTTAATTTTAAAAGTTTTCAATTCAAATAATGTTTTGATATTCGTATAACAAATTTTTTGGAGAATAGAAAGTTTAACAATTTATGTTTAACTAATTCTACATGCAATAAAATGCACTCATAGAATCTCTTGATTAACCTCATTTTATGAGATCACTTATCACAAGGTCTTTATTTTGGATGAACAAAAGATTATAACTGAAAGTTCGTTAGGGATGTTAAGCCCTTAAGAACTAGCTCGAGGCTAACCAAGAGGGGGGTGAATTGGTATTTTAAAAATTCTTTAAGCAAAGCACAACAATCATAAACCAAAATCACCACAGAAATCAAAGTGCGGAAAAATAAATAAATACGGAAGCAGTAGAAATAGATCACAGAGATTTATAGTGGTTCGGTCAACTCGACCTACGTCCACTCCCTAGAGGCGCCCTCCAGGTATTGCACTACAAACGTGACTCTTCTTTTTCTACCACAGCAAGGTGGAGAAGCCCTTACAAAACCTCCTTTCTGCCAACCCCAGCAAGGAAGAGAACCCAACTTCTTTTGCTTCCTTTTGCTTCCTCCTGAAGCAGACAGAGAACCTTGATCGATTGCTGAAGCTCACCTCTCTCAGCCCTTCCAAGGGCAAGAGACTCTAGTAGAAGAAGAAGTGGAACAATGCTTAAAGAAACCATTGTGAATCCCCCTCACAAACTCCCCCTCACAAAATCCTCTCTCTCTCTCTCTCTCTCTCTCTCTCTCTCTCTCTCTCTCTCTCCTCTAGGCTCTCTCAGGTCAAGACAGCAGCAAAAGATCTTTCTGTATGAGAAAATTCAGGTCATTTAAATAAAATTTCAAGAACCGAAATTATCATCCAGGATGATAGGAATATCGTCCTGGCCGATCAGTACAAAGTAAGCTCAATCAGTCGGGATGATTAGAAGAAAATTGGTTACATCGTCCAGGCCGATATAATATCGTCCTGGCCGATTAGCTCAAATCCGAGTACAATCATCCTGAACATCGCCATGAATAGAGTCTGACCGGTGTCAATCGTCTAAGACATCGTCATGGCCAATTTTGCGATCGGCCCGGCCGATGTGATCGTATCAATTAGCCTTAATTGCTTTCCATAATTGCCAGATTAATTTAGGCATAATTGTGCTGCATCGTCCAGACCGATGTTGAGTTTGTACTGGCTGATGTTTTAAAATAAAGAATACCTAAATTGATCATGGCGGTTGAGCCTATCGTCCTGGCCGATACAAGGATCGTCCAGGACGATGTGCTTAATGATGTCTGCTTAATCAGGATGCCCTAATTAGAGTTTCTATTTTTAGTTGGATCGTCCTGGCCGATATGAACATCGTCCAGGCTGATGTACTCAAAATAAAAAAACTCAGAAAATCCCTCAAGTGTGTGTGTGCAAGATTACTTAGCATCAGGAACCACTTTTACAATTGACTCAAGAAAAAGAAAAATATTACAGACTGACTCAACCTGAATCTACCCAATCTTGAGCTGGTATTGAGTTGTGTTCGATCATGTGGACCTGAAAAGTTAGTAGGTAAGGTAGTCGTAGAAAAGCATGAATGTTTGCTATCATCAAAAGTCTAATCCATAATCTCAGATTCGCAATAATCTCCCACTTTTTTATGATGGCAAACACACCCAAAAAATTTCAAGCAGTTATGACAGTTTAATAAAACAGTGTGATGAAAAAATAGTTCACTAAATTCCAAAATTAAATTACAAGATACATCAGACTACTCCCCCTTTTGACATCATAAAAAGGAGGGGGAAACTAAAAACAAACTAAGGCAACTAAAACTAAAAGAGAAATAAAATACAGAAAAACAAACTATAGAAAAAAAAAACACAAAGAAAATCAGTAAAATGAGGGCCCCTGATCATTTGAAGGAGGAGGTGGTGGTGGTGGTGGCTACTGTAAGTAACTAGAGAGCGTAGCAAACTGTGCCCCAAACCAGGCCATGTCCTGGTCGTGCTACTGCTGCTGGTGTGCAACATAGGCATTGAAACGGGTCTCCCATTGATCAAATCTCTCCACCAACTGATTCAGTTGAGAGTGCTGGCGGAGAGGAACAGGTTCAGGAACAAGAGCTGGAGCCTCCTCCTCCTTGGCCCCCTGAGCTTCCCCATCCCCTGGGTGGAGACGAGTACTGTGAAGGGCATTGAAGGAATTGTTTGAGTAGAAGGGTGGTGGATGGTTGGGAGGAGCAGGATATTGAAGTTTATATTTGGATTCTAGAACATATGCAATGATGTGTCCTAGAGCAAGATTGAGCTTTCTTCTATGACTTGGATCTCGAATGATAGTCAAATGCTCGATGTAGCGAAAGATCAGGTCTGTGGCATTGAATTCTCTATGGGCCATAATGTAAAAAGTAGTGAGTAAAAGAAGTGGAGTGATATGGATTCGATCTCCGACTTTGGGAATCACGGAGGTGCAAAGGATGAGCTGGATCGTC